CCAAGGCTGGCACAGAGGAGTCGGGTCAGGGCCCCCCCGGACACCCGGAGCCTCACCGTTCCTCTTCAGGAAGTGCAGAGCATCCCGGTATCCCTGCTTGCACATGTCCCGCAGCACCTGGGGCAGAGGGTGAGAGCAGCTCATGTGGGGGCTGCCTGGGCAGAGCCAACAGCCAGCCCCGTGCTTCTGAGGAGTTCTCCTGACTCCTGAGCTAGCCCAGGGACAAATCCCACCCTTGCCAGCTCTCCCCAGGCTTTGAGCAGGAGGTATAATGTGAATACATCAGGTATGGGAATCAAAGGATAATTCAGAGTGGAAGGAACACCTGGAACCCTACCTAGGCATGGGTTTAGAGTTGCAGCCACCTCCCTTCCCAGTCTAGAGCTCCCAGTGGCAAAAGGAACCCAAGGCACCCACACAACCTCGTGCAGATGGGCAAGGCTGGCCAGTCACCAGGCTGACAACGTCAAGGTTCAAAACCAAACCAGACCCAGAACTAGGAGCCTGGGATCTGCTGCTTTAGTGCCCAGGCTGGCCAGAGCCCACCCCTGTGCTGCCAGGACACCCACCTGTGGCTCTGGGGGGAACAGGGCCTTGGAGAGCCGGTACAGGTTCCGGAGGTTGAACTGGATGCTGGTGTTGGTGACTCTCAGCTCGTGCATGTTGGTGGAACTGTCCCGGGGACAGATGTCACTCTCCCCTGAGAAGGGGGACACTGTGATTGTGTTCTTCAGCTCATAGCGGGGCAGGTTGTCAGAAATCCCTCCATCAACATACCTCTGAAACCAACACAAGGGAAGAACTCTTCATTCCATAACTGACCAAGGGGCTCTTCCACCCCGTGCCCCTGTTCCCATCTGTGCCAACACCTTGGGGAGAGGACAGAGGATGTCCCCAGCACCGGAGGAGTCCAAAGCAGTGACAGCACAGCTGCATTGTCACCACCTCCCTTTGCTGTGTGCCTTTCCTCCCACGGCCAAGCGTGTGGTCACAAGTGTTCCCCAGGAGAGGCACCTCCAGCTGCGTGGTGGCTGCTCCCCTGCATCTCCTGTGGGGCCCAGTTCACCACCACAGCACACCAGCAGCCACCAGTAGCCACCAGCAGCACCGACCAGCCCCGATCCAAGCCGACAGAGGGGGCACTGTGCCCCTCCTCACGTGTGTGCAGAGGCTGTAAGCTCACACACGGTCCCCCCAGGGCAGAAGCAGCTGATTTGTCCCCAGCAGCACTCCCCCCACGTGCAGCCACACGGGGAACTCGCTGTGGCCTGATAACAGGCACAGGGGACTGGGGCTCGCTCTTAACACGCACCCTCTTATCAGAGAATGTTCTGTACCACGTACCACAAACACTTTGTGCTACCCTTGCAGGAAGGGCAACCCCAGAGGGTTCCCTGGAGCACCACAATTGCCCAAGGAGCTGAGCAAGACAATCCCTATCACAGGCCTTTGGCAGAGTAAGCAGCGTGTGGAAGATAAAGGGAAGGGGACCCTGGTCAAGCCAAAAGAGCAGAAGTTTGAGACCTTTGCAGAGCAACAACTCAAGCTCTTGAGAGCCTCAGTGACAAAAGAGCCCTGCTGGTTTTGTATCCTGCCATTTGCTGCCTGCAGCCCTTCCCTCTGGAGGTGTTCAAGTGGAAATCATCGTACAGGAGCTACACAGCCCCCCAGGCAGCAGCTCTGACTCCCTCAGCTCTCTGCTGCCTGAGGAGCTGAGGGGGCAGAGGCTGAAGCCAGGCAGGGCATGGAAATGCTGATGGGAAGAGCTGGTTCTCCATGCTGCATCATGCTCTGCCTCATCTCACAGGCAGACTGACCACCAGCTCTGGTCTTTTGCTGCAGGAACATGCCAGCTGCTTTGCCTGGAGGGTGATGTGTGCTTTGCTCTCTCTTGCTCTGGGTGGCAGAGCCCTCTTCAAGCAGCCCCCCTGACCCTGGGGACCAGCTCATAGGCTCCTGGGCTGAAAGCAACCAAATTCAGCTACAGGAATCCAGCTCCCATCAAGGGAACGGGGTCAGGGTGGACTGCACAGCAGGTTTCTGGAGGGCAAGTTGAACCTCAAGGCTACCTCTGCATACAGATGGCTCATGATGATAGTTGTAGGCTACAGCAGCACCAACTCACTGCACAGGGCATTTTATCCTCATGTCAGGCCTTGTTCACCAAACAGTGTCAGCACTGATGTAGTTAGAGATTGCCCCACCTGGATTTGGGCAGTGAGGACAGTGGCAGGATGGGATGTGTGGCAATGATCAAACTCCAGAAGCCCAAGCTCTCAGGAACAGGAGCACTCAGCTGCCTTACAGGATGAGCCAACAGAGAGGCCAAAAATCTTTTGAACCCCTTGCCCTCCTTCAAAGTGGGCATCAGTTTTCTCTAAGCCAAAAGCAACCACAGCAGACTGCCCTTGTCATCCCCTCCCCAGAGCTGCTCCACGGCAGCCACGAGGCACAGCCAGAGCTGGAGCTGTCTGGGTGACCCCCTCTGCCAGGAGGAGATGGGGCCAGGAGGGAGGAGGATGAAGCAAGGCAGGCAGCACCCACCTCGTTTGAGGAGGAGCAAAGAGCTTGGCTGCTGAATCAGGACACCCCCCACCCCGTGGCACGGCTGCAGGAACACCCCTCTCCCTGGGGGGCAGCAGGAGCACAGGGATGCCCCTGGACAGGGGCTCCAGGAAGGCTGACAGGGAGAGCTTGCTCACTCTGGAACCCAGGCAGCCCCTGCTCCCTGGCCCACCACCCCCCAGGGGACACCGACTGCCACTCCTCACTCTAGAGCAGCTGCCACTCCCCTGGGTGTGCCTGAAGCTCCAGCAGCCCAAGCCTCACCACCCTCCATCCTCCTGCAAAGCCCCTCACAGCACAGAGCTGCAGCACCCACCTGCCTGCCAGCATCACCACCACCAGCAGCAGCTTTTGGGGATGGCTCGTGGACTGGGCTCATTTCTGAGGTGCCCAGTCCCATTCCCCTCCCAGGCACAGGGCCCCTTGCTCACAGCAATCAACAATTAGCTTTTTGGCCCTCGTTAGGGGTTCACCTCACCACAGACAGTTCACAGCTAGGGCATGGTGACAGGTCAGTTACCCACCCGTCCATTTCTCACTATTTGAGAATTCCTGAGGGTTTTCTTCCTCCTCCCAGCACCCCCCTTCACCATCCACTCCACAAGGCTACCAGAGCTCAGAGAAGTGAACACTGGAAGAAGAGGAGGAGGAGGAAGGCAGGACAGGGGTTTACACCTTGCACACAATCAGATGGCTTTGAGAGCTGACAGTCTGTCCCGTGGCAAGGTCACCACGGGCACGCCAGGAACTATGCCATCCCCCTGGAAAAACTCTCCCAGGCTCATGCCCAAATTAATTTAACCTCTCCCCCAGACAGCCCCCACTTCAGAGGCACGAAGAGCTGTGACTTTCTGGGGAAGAGGCAGGAATCCATTTCCTCATCTCCTACCTTTCCCCATGGGGAGGCTTGGCATGAGAAGTCTCCCTCAGTCTGCCAGGGCAGCTGCACATTCCAGAAACCCTCATGCTGTGCACAGCCTGGGAATTCTGAGGTTTGATCTGATCCACACTGACCCAAAATAGCCCCAAAGAGGTGGCAAGAGCCTCTGCTGTGGGACAAAAGCCCTGCCTGCAGCTGCTGAGCCAACGCCACACTGTTACTGACCCTGCCCCTTCTCTGCAGGGCTGGACATTGGACATTTGTTCCAGGTCACCTCCCTGCCCAACGTGCTTGCACAGGGCAAAACCAGCCAAGCCATGTATTGTGCAGGAGCAACACAGACCTTGTTTTGAGAGCACCAGTAGTGGTGGGAGCAGATCTGATGCTGTGCTCTGACAGACTGAGGCGTCTCAGAAATAGTGTGTCCAGCAGTAGGGAAGGGATTGTCCCCTGAATGGGGCACTGGGGAGGCCACAGCTGAGCACTGGGGTCAGGTTTGGGTGCCACAGGATCAGAAAGACCTTGAGGGGCTGGAGCAAGTCCAGAGAAGGGCAACAGAGCTGGGGAGGGCTCTGGGGAACATGGCTGGTGAGGAGCAGCTGAGGGACCTGGGGAGGTTCAGTCTGGAGAAGAGGAGGCTGAGGGGAGACCTCCTGGATCTTGACAACTCCTGGAAAGGAGGCTGGAGTGAGGTGGGGGTTGGTCTCTTCTCCCAAGTAACCAGCAATAGGACAAGAAAAAATGGGCTGAAGTTGTGTCAGGGGGGTTTGGTTGGATCTGAGGAAGAATTTCTCTCCTGACAGAGCAGTGAGGCATGTCTGGGCCCAGGCAGGTGCTGGAGTCCCCATCCCTGGAAGGGTTCAAAAAAACATGTAGATGTGGCACTTGGGGACAGGGTTTAGTGGTCCTGGTAGTGTTGGTTTGATGGTTGGACCTGATGATCTAGAGCTCTAAAGCTCTCTTCTAAGCTTAATGACTCTGATTCTGTGACCCTGGTCAGTCACTCCTGGGAAAGCAGAGCATGCAGACACCACCAGCAGTTCCCCCTCTCCTTTTTTGACTCTCTAGCTTGCAAGGAAACTGCCTCTTAATGTCTGCACTGACCTCTGCAGCACAAGGGGAGTCTGAGCTCAGCTGAGGCCCTTAGGCATGGCTGCAGCATTCAGAGACACTCCAGCTCTGCACAGCTTTCACATATGTTCACTTCTAACATGCAAACACAGAAGGGAGAAACTGCTCTGGACAGCCTTGGGCAGGCTGTTACAGAAAGCCCTGGAAGGCAGGAGGACATTATTCCCAGAGGAAGGACAGGAAGAACTCCATGGGAAAGAGGTCTGGTGTCAGCACCACTGGTTAAGACCCCACAGAAAGCCTCAGGCACGTGGGAGAGGGTCCACTCTCATCATTTCTGCCCTGGACCCAAGTTCCTTCCCCATGCAGAGGGCCAGAGCCTCAGTGATGGCCAATGGCACCAGTCAGCCAGCCCTTGCCCAGATTGCTGTGTTACTATGATGTTAAATTTTGTGATCTGCAGGACATTTACAGCCAACCCCAGGCAGCAGAGGGAAGACACACGCACTGCTGGAAGCCATTTGGGAACTTCTTCTGCCTCTTCAGGCTAATTGCTGCCAGCAGATGAGCAGTAGGGCTGCAGCACTGAGCACCAGCATTGCTGCCTTCTCATTCTTTAGTACATGATGTAGTGAAGGAGCATCCCAGAGCCCTACTCACCACTCCACGCAAGGTTGGAGGTATCAGCCCACAGTAGACAGGGATGAAGGTGCTGCAGACACAAGCCTGAGGGAGAGAGAGAGATCCAGAGTGTAAGCAGCAGATCAGAGCCGCCTGATCCTACCACTCCCCTGAGAGCACCACACTGCCCCGTGCTGACAGCCACACTCCAGTCCTACAGACAGCTGGAGAGCCAGGCAGGACAGACCCCCCCCAGCTCCTGCCCTGCCCTCTGCAGCAGGTCCCCACTCACCTGGATCAGCTCCTCCTTGGAGTTGAAGTCTGACAGGATGACGTTCTCCCCATCTGAGACCCGTGTCAGGGAGATGCCCAGACGTCCTGCTGCCACCTCGTGCCCGTTCTCGGGCACCGTCTTGGACAGGCAGATCCGAATGATCTTCACCAAGTTGAAAGATGGGTGGAGGGGGCCCAAGAACCTCTTCCGGGCCTCCTTTGACACTCGGATGATGCTGGCACCAGCCTCACCTGCAGGGAGAGAGAAACCCACCCTGAGATCCTGGCAAAACCTTCTCCTTCACAAAGCAAGGCACAGAAGAGGTTCTCTACCCAGAGGCTTCTCCTCAGAGGCTGACACACAACTCCAGAGAGGCTGCTAAGGGCAGTGTTACAGAAGTTTGCTGCCTGGGCCCTGACTGCCCCAGTGCAAAGAGCCACCCTCATCTCACGTGGGTTTTAGAATGTCAAGGAAGATCTGTGCACCTGGGGAAGGCCTTAGACTTTTCCTGAGATCCTGTCTCACTGGCCACTGAGGGCTGGTAGAACCAGGCTAACAAAGAGAAGCTTCAACAGCTTTGGGCTTACAGTAAATCCAGTGCAAAACAACAGCAGCTTTTGTAGGAAGTGACTCCTGTTTTTCTGACACGAAAAAAACAGGTCACCTGGCTCCAAGCAGAGGTGCCACTGAACAGACTGTGGGTGCTTCCCAGCAGAGTGCCCCCAGCTCTGCTGGGAGTGTCAGCACCATCCTGAGCAAGCCAGAAGGACACTGAGCTCCTCAGGGACTCAGTGCCTCCTGCAGAGCTTCTGGTGGCCCATCCCACAGCACCAAGAGCCCTGAGGGCAGGCTGATGGCAAACTGTCTGTGCTTTACCCCTCACACAGTGGCCGGGTCTGCAGGAGAGGAGACATCCTGGCTGCACACAAGGGAAGGCATCTGCTGAGCCCCTTATCCCACAGTCACTGGGAGCCACGGCTGGCAGGAGCATCAGAGCTCTCCACGGGGAAAGGAGGGATGGGAGCAGACAAAACAAACCCTGCAGCCCAAGCCAAACCCCCAGCACTGCCCTTTGCACACACTGACTGCTCCTTCCTCACATCTCCCAGCCACGGGTCCTCTGAGCACCAGCCAACTACTGCACTCCCAGGGGCACCAGGGATATCTGTGAGAGCAAGAACTAAAGAGACCAGAAGAAAAGAGAGATGCTGTCACAAATGAAAGACTTCTGTCAAACTGAAGGCCTGTTCCTGGAGAAAGATGAAAGGCTACAGCTCCAAACTGCCTGGAAATCCCTCCCGTTGGCTTCCCACCCGGTCTGCAGGTCCAGAAAGGAGGCAGCAGGACAAAAGAAGCCAAGTTAGACCTGGGTTAATAAATAAAACGGAGATAAGAGCAACAACAGCCTCCATGCTGTGTTGACACATCCCTCTCTTTTGCAATACACGTGTGCCAGCAACATGTTTTCCACTGGCACAGCCTGGGAACGTGACCCCGTGCGTAGGAAACCCATCAACACCAGCAGCTCAGGCACACACAGATCCCTGGACACCACCAAGGACTCTGGGGTCAGGATTTTAGGCACCATGAAGTGAACTTAGCACAAAATCCAAGTTCCTTGCTCCAAAGCAATTTTTAGCCCTATAATCCCAGCCTTTTGTGCTGTCCTAGAGCAACGTTTAGCAGTCTAATTCTGATCTCTCTTACTCAGTTAGCTGTAAGCCACTGAGCCCAACCTGCTCCAGATCACAGCCACATGGCCCAACCCTCCCCAGCATGGCAGAAGCCAGCCTCACAGAAATGACACACTACCAGCACTCAGCATTCCCAGAGACACCTCCACACGTGGCAAGGGGAGGAGACAGAGATGGCAACAGAGCCAAGAAGTGAAGGAATCCCAGCCCAGCCCCTTGGGCACACGACCCCAGGAGATCCCACGTGCTCCAGGTGGAGGTGGTGGAGATCCCAACCAGCCAGGTGGAGGGTGGGTGTTGAGCTGTGAGTGCAAAGGTGGTGCTGGGTGGGGAGCTGGCACCCAGGAGACAGTGCTTGGAGAATGAAGCTTTCAGAGGTGGCATCTCAGTGGGCAGGAGGACTTGACAGCAGTGCTGAAAACAGCTGCCACCAAACTGAGCTTCTGACTGTTGGGGCTAAAATGGGAGCTGCAAGTGTTTTAAGAAAACCAAAACCCCACGTGCCAGCTATGCCAGGAACAGACTGTCACAGCACTCTCAGCTCAGCACAGCAGGGACATGCACCTCTCCCACAGGGCCAGGCTGAGAGGTCATGCAGCCTGGAGAAGACCAGGGAGATCTTCTGACAGCCTTCCAGCACCTGCAGGGCCCTACAGGAGAGCTGGGGCAGGGCTGGTCACAAGGGTGTGCAGTGACAGGACGAGGGACAATGGTTTTAAACTCAAGCAGGGGGGATTTAGACCAGACATTAGGATGAAGTCCTTTAGTGTGAGGGTGGTGGAACACTGGCCCAGGCTGCCCAGAGAGCTGGTGGAGGCTCCATCCCTGGAGACATTCAAGGTCAGGCTGGATGGTGCTCTGAGCAGCCTGACCTAGTTGGGGATGTCCCTGCTCACTGCAGGGGGTTGGACCAGATGACCTTTGCTTGGGGTTGGGAGGGGCCTCCATTCTGTGAGTTTATGTCTTGGCATTTGAGGGGAGACATTCAAGGTCAGGCTGGATGGGGCTCTGAGCAGCCTGACCTAGTTGGGGATGTCCCTGCAGGGGGTTGGACCAAATGACCTTTGCTTGGGGTTGGGAGGGGCCTCCATTCTGTGAGTTTATGTCTTGGCATTTGAGGGGAGGCTTCAGCTGCAGCTGCCTGCTCCACCACCACTTCCCAGGCAAGAGTGCCCAGCAGGAGTTACTGCTAGGGAGCAACTGCATTCCTTGAATACCTCCTGGGTGTTTGCTCGTGGGGGTTTAGACACGTGTGTGTGCAGGCAGGAGCTGCTGGGGGGCTGCAGTTTAAGGACACCTGTGGTTCTGCTGGACTGGCACCAGAGCTGGGCACAGCATGGGCAGAGAGCTCTGCAGCACTGCCAGCTTTCCTGGAAACACAGCTGCCTGGGGCTCAGCCAGCCAGGTTAACCTAGCCAGGCCCGTGTCAGATGACAAGCCCTCCTGGAAATGCATTTAGGAGGAGAGAGAGGTGAGAGGGTTTTAACCCTCCTACTTAACAGAAGTGATCTTCCAGGAAAAAACAGTTCAAACTGTGCTTGGAGCCTGCCAGAGGGAGCAGCTGGACGGGAGGTGGGCAAGGGGACGAGTCCCACAGGGGTCAGCCAGAGGCTGTCAGTTATGGCTAGGACAAGTCCAGTGCCAATTCCAGTCCACAGCAAAGGTTCTCATGGGTTTTGATGGATCTGGTGATTCAGGACACAGGGTTGGTGTGAAAAAAACTACATTAAGTTCCTCTTCTCCTGCTTAAGCATGCACTGAGGGGCAGGGGCAACCCCTAACAGTTGGTACTGCTTGCTGGGGAAACATTCAGCTCTTCTCCCACCAACCAAGCAATTCAACACTTCTCCCAGGGCAGATTCACCAAGCCCACATTTCTCTAAAACTTACATTAACCTGTGGAATATTCCACTTCCCTTACAAAAGCCAGGTCCTGCTCCTGCCCTGGGCCCTGCAGTGGCCCGGGGGGTGCTGTCACCAGGAGCCCACATCCCCAGGGATCTCATCCTTATCTGAGTTCCAGTTGTGGTGACAAAAGCAGCCCCAGAGGCTGTGTCCTGAGCCAGCCCAGGTGTCCCTGGGCAGGATGGAGCCCAGCTGCTCCACCTGCTGCCCCAGCCTCCCCCAGCAGCTACAGGGGGCAAGTTACTCCTGCCCATGGGAGAAGGTCTGAAGGCACCAGCTTCACATGAGCTTATTGACATGGCAATAAGGATTGTGCCCCCCATGCTCATCTCCAGAATGACCCAGTCCCCACTGCTCTGTGTCCCTTAGCCACAGCAAAGAGCTCAGAGATGAAGACTAAGGGCAAAACCCACCCCTGCAGGAGGGGGATGAGTGGGGAGGAGGGGCTGCTCCAGCCCCACCCCTCGGCAGCAGGGCTCTTGCTCCAAGGGCACCGTGGTGCTCTCCTGTTGGCATCAGACCACACTGACATCCATTTGCCAGCCAGCAAAAGGGCAGCTGACCCATGAAGTATTTCAAGTGGGTGGGGAGCCTAGGAGACAAACAAACAGGAGCAGAAAGGGCTGAAGAGGGAGGGGGCACTCTGGACGTTCCACCCAGCAGCTCCTGTGACTGCAGCTCGCCCACAATGCCACAGATCTCTCTGGAAATGCTCCCCAGAAGCACAAAGACACCAGGACGTCCCTGGTAGTGCAGCAGGAAGCAGGGGCCAAGCCTGAAGGGAAGGGCTCCAGCAGGGATGGAGAACAAGGGACACAGACAGGGTGGATGTAAGGACAGCATCCCCTGTCCCTGCTGGCAGGAGGCAGGGACAGAGCAGCCACACCACAGCCCGCAGATGCCTGGGTGAGAGGTGGGCAGGGACCTGTGCAGATCCTCACAGAACCTGCTCCTCAGTCAGCACCACCAACAATTCCAACGGCCTCCTCCCTGCGTGCCAGCAACACAGGAGGCACCACTCCTCTCAGCATCCTCAGTCCCACTGCCCAGCTAAGGCTCCAGACCGACCAGAAACATCAATCCTGAGAGCTCCAGAAGGAAGCCAGCTTCCTCCAGCACCTTCAGAGCCCAATGCCTTGTTTCTTCAGCATGGCATGACCAAGCTGTTTGGACTGCAGGACTTTCAGGACAGGAGCCAGCTGTGTGCTGTAACCAGGGACCTCACACTGGAGCTGCTCAAGTTCTGCTTAGCTACCTGCTCACGCAGTGTTTGCATCATCCTCAGCACAGATGCTCCCTGCAAGGCTCCCCAGCTACCATCTTCACACTTTGCTTTCAGCTCAGATGGTTGCTCAGCATCTCTGGAGCTCTCACATTTCCCACTGGTCGATCCCTGTCCAGATCTGAATTTAGGAACAGGATGATTCAGAAGGAATTTAGTCGCGTGATCTCCCTCAAGGTCAACTTAGTTTGGTTGTCTGTGCCCTGCTATTTCAGCTGTTCCTGTACCTCATCCACAGAAGAGCTAAAAGGCAGTCTCTGATAATGAGCACAGGTTTTAGGAGAGCTGCCCCATGTAAGGGAGACCTTACTGCTCTCCACACCTCCCTGGAAGGTTGGAGATAGGTGGGGATTGGTCTCTTCTCCTAAGGAGCCAGCAAGAGGACATTGGCTTAGGTGGCAAGGAGGTTTCAATCAG